ATTATATGTATAGTTCTCTTCTTGTCAAAAGTCCACTTAGGACTATTCAATTACTTTAGAATGTCGGTTGACAAGCTGAACTATTGCACTAGTATTCTGTGTGGTTCTCTTACAATTGTGATGCAAGTTACTGTAATCGTTTGGTCTTCTTTCTTCAAAATATCCTCTGTTCCATTTGTGAAAGTGTACTCAGGCTGATTCAATTACTTTAGAACCACGTTTTTATGGAATAAATTCTTCTTATCTCCTTTTCTACTGTTAGTCTTGCACTTAACATATTAAACATTAGGCCTATCACTTCTACGGTAGTTAACTTCACACTGCTATTGTCTGTCTGGTGTTTCTGCTTATCTCTCACTATTTATATGTTTATCCCTTAATCATCTGCCCACCTTCTATATTCTTGACATCAGTGTCTTGAATGCGACATTCGATAGTCTCAACATCAATGACTTATAAGCACAACTTCCTACAGTTGTCTGCTTTCAACTCTTATTATAACAGTAATAAAATATTCACTCACAAAAATTAATCAATAATATCTAAACTAAACAGCCTTTTTTGTATCATAACAGCTCTATAGAGGAACACTAGTCTAATTACATTTTTATACACTTTGGCTTTCAGTGTCCTTGGTAACCTTTTGTCACAAATGACTAGCTATTTCCTCCAACCCATCTGGATTCTATCTCTCATCTTCTCTTTCACTTGTACTTCTCAAGTACCTAAAGTCTTCTACCTGTTCCAGTGGCTCCCCTTTTACATCTTTGATCTTAACCTTCTTCCTACCTTTTCCACTCATCATGATTACTCTTTTTCTGGCATTCACTTTCAAGCCTCTTCTGCAACACTTTAACTTGCATTTATAGCTCCTGTTCACTTTCAGCTTTAGGGCAAGGTCATCAGTGAATAATAAGTCCCACAGTGGTCACTTTTGGTACAACTTACTCAAAACTTTGATGACAATAGTACAGCAGGGGGGCTAATAGCTGACTCTTGGTGCATCCTAACATTTACTTCAAACTTGTTCTCTTCTCCACATACCATTTTCGTTATTTTTATTGCTTCTTCATAAGTGACTGTCACTAGTTTAATCAGTTTTTTGGGTACTCTTTTTTTTTTTTCTTTCAGAGGCACCAGTATACTAATTCTTATGGCACTATTTCATATACTTTCTACAAATACATGGTATAAATTTTTGGTTTTTTCAAAGTACTTCTCTTGCAACTGTCTCCGAATGAAGATTGTATCTATTGGTCCTCCCCAATACCAAAATCCTAACTGTATTTCCCTTATTCTATTTTCCAGTTTTTTCACTTTCCGCAGATTCTCCACCATTTTTATTCTTCTATAATTTTCACACTCAAGAGCATCTCCTTACTGCTTGTAGATGGGTATCAATAAGCTCTTTCCATTCCCTGGGTATTTGCTCTTTACTTGTCTATTCTGAATACCTTCTCTGCTCCTGGTGTCTCCATGTTGTCATACCAATTTTTATTGTCTTCTTTGTCACTGCCATCACTCTTTTCACTTCCTTTTTTTTTTCTTGAATGATTGTCCTTCATCTGCCATTCTCTAAAGGCTTCTTTCCTTTCTTTATTGGTTTGCTGCACTTTCTGCTCCATTACCATGCTTCCTTCTGTTTAGACCTTCGTCCTTTTGTTTTGCTGCAAATGTTTTCTGCCTCTTGAATCAGGCAGTTCTTCAGTACTTTCCAGCTATCTTTTGGACCTCCTGCATATTTTGTATCACTGGTATTTCTCTTGGTTTTCTCCTTCTAACTTCCACACTTTAATCTTCTAAGTTCTTTTCTACTTGTTCCTCTTTTTCTCCATTATCAACAGGAGAAGAGATAATTGCTACTCTTATGAAATGATTTGGAAAGCAAAATGCATTGAAAACTGCCCATCAGTTATCAAACTTTTTAAAATCAATATGAATAATGCAAGAATATGGTGAATTATTGAAAGGTGAATGTTAAATTTGCAGTGGACACTCATTTAAAATTACTGAAAAGGGAAACTAAAATACTGACAAGCAATGAAGTTTTGGATAAACTTTGTCATTTTTGCAAAGAAACATTAAATGAATTGCAAGGCAGATCTCCAATTATCTGTGCTTTGTCAAGGAATTTGCCCAGCTTGCATCCTTGTCATGTGGTGTAAAATGAGCAAAAGAAACAGCTGGTATAAAAAAAATTAAGAATGTACTAAAAATATGTGAAAAGCAATTTGAGGCAAAGAAAGTGAATGTGACTCACTTGTGGAAATTTGATAATTTTTTAGAAAGAGGAAAGTACTGCCTTTCAAGAATTCTGAATTAGCTATAAGGTTAATTGCCTGAACTGTTTGTTATATGAATGCATGGGAAAGAACAATAATTTTGAAACAAACAATGCAGTTAGAAATTTGCCCTTTTTTTTTCAAGTTCAGGCTAATTTGGAAAGTGGGTTCTCAGTAAGTTGATAAACATACTTCACAAAGCAGGGATGACAATCTAAAACATATTGATGATCTTTGAAATCACTTTCACCAAAGATAGATTGTTTTGAGCAGCTCGGGGAAGGCTGCAACTTTGAGAAACAGAAATGAGAGATAATGGGATGTAGGAGAAAAGAAACTAAGAAGAATGCAAAAGTTCAAGGAAACAAATGAATATACAGTATACAGGTCACATTATCATGAACTCTAATTTCCTGTGGAGAACTGCAAACAAAGAGAGAAGAAATATACAGAGTGTGGACATTAATATTGAAAAGTTAAGACAAAAAGTGAAAGAACACTGAATTATTGAAACAAAGACTATCTATGAAAGCTTATCCAGTTTATTAAGTAAAAGTCATTTTATAAAATGTTTGAAAATACATTTGTGTGTTCTTTTCTTGTGTAACATTCACAATATTATTATACTGATGATGAAAAATTTAACAGGTAATTGAAAATGGATGCAAAGTTATGGAATTAGCTGAGCCAAAAAGTATACGAACCCTGGAGGATTCAATGTTTTATTTTTTAATGTAATGTGTATTGTTAATTATCCATTATTAAGTATTTCCTAAGTGAATAAGTGTGTGGTTGATTAAAAATATTATTCCTAGTTTTATTTTAGTGTGTATTCAGTCATTATGTATTATTTCTTGTATTATCAATAATTGTTCAACATCATAATTACCAAGGGTAAAGTTTTTAAAGCGTGTTATTTTAATGTGACAAGTTTGTTTTCATAATAAGGTGTAATAATTATTTTAAAACAAAATCAAGGTTTAAGCCGGGTTCAAACTTAAATTTTTTAAACCTTGAGCTCAAATGTGATCCAAATAAAAAAAAGCTGTACAATCCTTAAAAATGATGTAACTTTAAACAGTTCTTATTTGTGGGTAAATATGCTATTTACTTTTATCACCAAAAATTAAAGGTCAGTTGTTATTTAATTTGAATGTGTGTGTGTGTATCACACTCATGAATAGTAACTGGAAATTACTATCAGATCTTTCTTCAGCACTTAATTTAAAATTTTTAGAAACAATAGTGTAGAGTAACCAAACTGTGCTTTAACACCTTATACTTATTTTAATGCAATTTAAGTGAAATTTTGGTAAATAGGATTATTGGTATTTAAAATTTATTAAAACTTGAAATGCTTTTTCAATTTTCCTGAACTATTTTTTCCTCTATCTCTTACATTTTTTGATATTGTCTGTAGCCAAGGTTACTGCAGTACTTTTATGTAAATTATTACTCATCAGAAAGGTAAGTCTAAGCAATGTGTGTTTACGTTAGGAAGACATTAACGACAAACAAATTTCATTGTTCATTGTTATTAATCACAGTAAGTTTGACTAAAAAGGGCTTAATGTAATATTTTATGTTGTTCTATTGGTGTCACAACCTGTTAACAAAGCAAAAGCCTTGCAATAGTAAAAAATCCTCCTTGAGACTAACTTATACAGGAAAAATCAGTTTTATGCACAAAGCCACTGAACCAAAAGATTGATTATTGTAATGTTCAATTTTATTTTACATAAAGGGTATTAAAATGGGTTTGCATGAAGTGTATGACATAAGGACGTGATTTAGATCTTTAATAAAGCTTTAACAATTTCATAATAAATTAAATGAAGACATACTCTTAGATATATGCTATAAATGAGACAAATCTGCATTTTGTTTTTATTTAAAACATTTTAAAAATTCTATTTATGTAAATTGAAGCATTACCTAATACACTAAAAATGTGTAAATCACTCTCATCAGACAAAATGTTTATCACAAGAGTACATGCTACCTGTAGTGAACTTAATGGGCACCAAGCAAGCTTAGTGTATTTAAAGGCATCAGATAAACATTTAAAAATTGTGTTGAATACTTAAATTGTGAATATGGTTTTCTGAGGCTGTACAACATGATCCTGTGAAGAAAGAATTACCATCAAAAGCTTTTACAGAAATTACTTTTATAATTGAATTAAACTGAATAGAAACACATTACATAAAACAATATCAATGACATTTTTCACATTTACATTTCCCATAAAGATTTTGTAAATTTACAAATGCAAATCAAAATCATTTGCAATTTTTTCAAACAATATTTTATTGTAAGTAAATGTATAAGTGATACGTTAAACAAAAAAAGTTGTTTATAACTTCAAAATATCTAAAACTTTAATGTATAATACGTTGAGATCAGTTTGAATATCACCCTTAGATTTAATGATCTTTTGTTGTAGCTATGTATGTTTACTAAAGATGTATCTAAGTTTTAAATTACATGTTCTGTACAGGTGTTTGTTGCATCAATAAGTCATGAACTGGTATAATAAAACAAATTTTACAAAACATAAATGAAGATTATTTTACTACAAAATGAATAAATTTAATTATATATATATAAAATATACATACATAATCATAATTTTGTTTAAAAATGAACAAAAGTGAAAACTAACAGCATGCATGAACTACTTACTATACATTTAATTAAAAAAAAACTTTGTAAATATTATATAAAAATATGTGTGTATATGTGTATTTATATGTCAGATGCAATGACATTATGTACAAATTCAAAAACACTTAACATATTTCCAAATGAGATTACTTTTTGCAAAACTTTGTCCCTCCTAACTATTCTACTTGACCAATTCAGAGTTACTTAAATACTGTATTATGAATATATATTTACAATATCAGCAAGTAAACATTCTTTAATAGTATTTCTGAGTATTAATTATGTCTGTTTAAAAGAATATTCAGCATTAAAGAAAATCCTTGTAAAATTTACAACATTAAGGTATAAAGCTATCACATTTATCAGTGTTAATAAAAACAGTTGTAAATTTAATATTTTGTTATAGTTTGAGAAGTAAGTATATGAATATAATTTCTAATAAAATTTTGTTGGGTTGTAGTTTACCAGTTTTGCATAAACTTATCCAAGTATTTCTTACAGTTAGAACAATAAACATCTGGTGGAATTACCAAAATGTTTGGGTTAAATATGAAAAGGATTTTTCTGAACTAAGTTTTTTTCTTTGGCGATATGGTCTCTCTGTTACTTAACCCGCAACCAAACAGTTTTTTTTGCATTGAACTCTTTTCTTGCATTTTCATGATTTGGGTATTTGAAACTACTGCATCATTCTTTTTTTCTTCTATGCAAGACACTAAAACAACTTGATCGGAGAATGTTACGCATTTTTTAGAGCCCTGTTTCTTTCTAGGTGAGATTAAGGAATGTGAAATACTATCACAGGTGGAGAAATAAGGTATTTTACACTTTCTACTGCTTTTTCCTGGATGTGGATTTCCTTTAGAAACTCTATCACACAAAGACTGTATTCCATCTTTTTGTTTGGTTTGATCAGATAAATTAAAATTCTTTCTATGATAGCTAGAAACAAACTTTGTGTGCTCTGGGAATGTCTTTTTTATCTCAGAAACTTTACTCTTGCTTTGCCTGCCTGCACACATTGAAAAAATAGTTGCATCATTTGATGCCCATTTATTTCGTAATAATTCCAATCGTTTAAGTGTAGTTTCATAATCAGGTGGTCCTTCAAATAATTTGTTTTCACACACTGTTGGATATATTATATTTTGTGATTCAGATTGTTTTGACACTGTAAGTGGCATGTCACTTAATAGTGATAGACTGATATCACCAGTCACTTGAACAGGTTCTGCAAAACTTTTGTTCTCATCTCCAAAAACACTTTCAATTTGACCAGAAGGCTTGATAATGGATTCAGTTCTTGATGCAGAGTCTTTTTCTAACTGTAAACATTTAACATGTGATGCATATGTTTTACTCCTTTTGGTATTTCTATTAAATTCCATCTTAGTCCCTTGTAGCAGCTGGTGAAAGTTCATACCCTGGTCAGAAAATATAAGTCATTTTTATATACTATCAATGTTTTTTGTACATTTTTATATTGAAAAACGAATTATATAACTGATAATTTTGCATTTTATAGTACAGTAACTGTAACAGACAGCTGTTATAAAAATTATTTTATGTAACCACTTGAAATAAAATAATATAAATGATCACAAACATAGAAGTGAATTCTTGGTTTAATGTTTGGCCAACTTATCAATTAAAAAACATTGACTTACTTCTTGTACTTGATATTAATGCATTAAAAGGATCTACACTGTACCTAAAGAAGAAAAGCATGAGTAGTGTAGAAAAAGTTTCTACTCTTCACTATGTATTAGTCTATGATGCATAGATCTGTAAGCTGCTTTTTTCTTTCATAAAAACTACCTTTAATTTAAAGCATAAAAATGCTAAAACTCGTATAAACTTAGTCCCCTTTAATCTGCTAAATCTGTATCTCTGCAATTTAAATACTTTTTGTTCCTAAGTTTTAAATATCCCTCTGGTGTTTTTCACAACAACAACAAAAAAAAAGATGCAAAAAAATAATCTATATATAAAAACTTCTTTACAATTCTGATCTTGGTTTGTAAAATAGGGCATACAAAAGAGAATGACAGCTTTTATATATTATGGGATGAAGTGTAACTCATTATTTCACTTCAGTATAATTCCTTATAACAGCCATAGAAAGAACAGTGAAAAATTATTCAAGAAAACATATTAAAATGAAACATTCAAAAACAATAAAATTAACTTAAAATTGAGTGTCTTACTTCACGAGTTTTCTGTGCTTCTGATACAATTTTGTACAATGCCCCTTTGTCAACAGACTGTGAATCATCTACAGAATAAAAGTGACAAAAATAACAGCATTTAAAATTTTTGTGAATGTGTCGATAAGAGTTCAATCTATGCAAGTTTTTAACTTTTATCTATTAAACATTTAGTTGTTAGAAAACTTAAAGGTAAAATACTTATTATGCCAGATAACCCTTCATTTATTACTGTTTCCATATTGAAAAACTATATAAACTTAGATACAAAATTAAATAAATCACCTTAACAATGTAGATAAAAGGTGATTTTGTTTTTCAATTCTGTACAGAAATTATGGCCAGGATAAAACAGTTGTCACTTGAAATGCCATGACATGCAGTAAGGAAGCTTGTACATTTTCTATATTGCATAATGTATTAAGGAAAACTTATAATCCAATGTAAAAACTTGTAACAAAAGTTAAGTAATATTCCTACCAAGTCTAAGATTTCTATAAGACCGAAGTCGCCTTCTCTGCAACAAGTGAATCTGCTTTTGCTGTAGTTGATTAATCCATTCCGCTTCTTTCAAAGAGTGATTTTTAAACAAGTCCTGTGGAATGATGATCTCTGTTTCTCCATATCTACTGATAGGTTCTTTAGTTTTATTGTTGAAAGAGGTGATGAGCTCTTGCTGACTACTTTGAAATTTTGGTAGTATCGTTTTCTTGGTATTGTAACCTTGTAACTTTGAACAGTGACTATCATTTTTCTGACTTCCATTAGTATCAGGCAAGTATTCAGAAGCCAAATAATTTGATCTTTTTAAATGGTGAGGAAATTTACTTGTTAAACTTCTGTCCATTATTATTTTACTATTGACGTTTTGTGATGACTTGTTTGCAGATAATAAATGATGTGTGAACACTGTTTCACTTTTCTCTGGATAGTAATTACATTCTGTCATAGATGTTTCTTGTCTTTGTAAAATTTGGTTATTTATACTAATTTTGTTCTTTTGACTGTCTTGATGAGAACCTTTACTGTCTCTGGGTCCTTGTATTCTTGTTGAAAAGTCATCAAGATTTGAGGTTTTAAACTGTTGTGACTTAATGAACTGTGGTGTATCAAAGATGCCTGAATCATCATAAGAATTAGGTTGGACATAATTTTGATTTGTTTTTTCTCTCAGATCAGGAAGGCTATAATTTTTTCTTTGCATAAACCCACTAAAACGTTTCCGTCGTATCTTGTGTTGTTTTTTACTAAGCTGATCAGCGAATTTCTGATTGAGTATATCACAGCTTTCTTCCAAGTCATTATTCATTCTAGTAGAGGGAACAGAGTAAGTTCCTTGAAGGGAACATTTATTATTTCTTTTTATACCAGTGATCTGATCTGGTTGATCTGATTTTCTTCGATATGATTGCTCTTTTTCAGAAGTTAAATTCATTCTCTCACTGAAACTTTTCGTTGTCAATTCTTTATCACTCTGTGACTTTGGTTGACATAAGAAAATATACCGAGATGAGTCTGATGAAATATGAGACTTTACTTGATCTTCTAATAAATTTTCACTTAACTGTCGGCTAACAGTTTCTTCAAAAACTTCACAATTATCATTACATTTTGCACTTTTCGTAGGAAATGGATTACAAACCTGAAGAGCTTTCTCAACATTTTCACTTGCATCTGTACCAAACTGTTCAGCTTTTGAAAATTCATTATTGTTCTTTTGAGGATTTATTGCACTAGAATATTTTTGGTTTGCAACTCCAAAGATAGCATCCCTATATTTACATTCCTCATTTCCTAGTTCTTTTAAATTTCTGTGTAGAGTTGAAGACCTCATTACACATCTTCTGTGTTTCATCTTAGCAGCCATTAAAGATTTAGGATTGCTGTATGGAGCATCCATTGTTTCTCTGGCCTTTGCTATATCAATAAACAGAAATATAAAAGTTTCACTACATATATTAAGCTATTCATAAATTAATTAATTCACTAAATATTTAAAGAATTGTACATCAAAAATATTGAATTTTTAATTATATTCTATGATGCAATTCAGTTTCTTCCAAAAGCTTTTACATACATTGAATCTTATTATATTAGTGCATAGAAACCTTACAATTTAAATTGTATATTATAAAACCAACACCAAACTTATACTTGGAAAACAAATGCAAATTAAAAATCAAAGTATGTTTTCTAAATAATAGTAGCAAGGATGGAAGATTGCCAAGTCTAGTTAATGTACTTAAGAGTGATAAAAAATTAAAAATAACATTGCATTTGAGGTACTTTAAAACACTGAAGTTAAAAGAAAATTACTACTCTTAGATGATTAAGGTTTTTGTCTTATGCAAAATAAAATTACTTACACCTGCCCAACACACTAACTCAGAGTTAAAAACTTAAATGTGAAAAGTACTAGCAAAATGGAGCAGAGCTATAGTCTATAAATACATGACTTTGTTTAATCTATTGGTTCATTTTAATTCAAGCCAAATACAATAAAGTTTAATTTGCTGAAAACAAGAATTATAGAACATGTTTGTTTTAGGATAGATCTCAAAATAGAATTAACATACTAAGGGAAAAAAAGTTATGATTATCAAAATACCAGTTTTTCAGGAACCTTATACTTCCTAATAAATCTGTATTGTTTGTTTTTGTGAAAAACTACACAGTCTGTACTCTGTCCACCATGGGGAAATCAAACCTCGGATTTTAGTGTTGTAAATCCATAAACTTATCACTGATCCACTGAAGGAACTATAAATCTATAAACATTTGATTCTACAGTTAAGCTGTAAAGTAACTGTCTCATACTAGCCACTTTGATATACATGCTGGACTTTGGGACCAATGTATTCTTTGATTTAATGATTATTGTTAGAAACTCAGTTTATCTGAAATTGTTATTCTCTAATATCACTGCACATTTGAAAGTGTGGTGTATCTTATGCTTATAACAGATGATAATCAATTATTTATTTTTGCATGTGTGATCTCTCCGATTTTTCAACTCTTTATATTTTATTTTCTCTTGGATGCATGCAACTGACTCAGCCCATTGCCATTTATAGTATCAAGTTAATTAAATCAATGTTACAACCTTAAGAAATGTCCATATAAATGGTACTACAACTTTATATGCTATAATTAAAACTACTTTAGTATAGCTTACATTGGTTTTTTTTTCTTTTTTACACTAAGCGTAATTTATAAATGTACATAATTCAATTCAAGCTCACTTGAATTTTGTTAATAGGTTTCAACTGGATCATTTGTCCACCAGTGAATATTAGATATTGCATTAAAATGTTTAATTTTGTTTTTATCCTTTTAAATTCCCATTTGTCTATTCTTGCTGTTGCACTTATCTGTCAAATGGCATCTATTTTTTATTTTTTTTCATACCTATTTAATAATGACAATAATGTGTTTGGCACTGTTTATGTCTTACTAACAAGTCCTTCTAATTATATGCTTGTTGATAAAAAAAAAAACCTGGTGCAGTAAGAATAGTGTTACTTTGTTTTATACAGTAATTTTAAATGCTTTATTTTTTGTGTTACATTCTTTTTACATTAAACAGGAGCAATTCTTTTTTTTTCACTATAATATAATATTGCTTTTTAATTTATCATGACATTAGTGATATGTTTAAAAACTGTTTCCTAGATATAAAGAAAATCCATTGGACATTAATTGAGATAATTCGTAGCCCTTACCAACTTCTACATCACTCAGTGGTGTAGCTACTTGAAGCTGTCCTTTTTCTTTTTCCTGGGATTTGATCAAAAGAGCATCTGCTTGCACACACAGTTTATTACAGTCATCTCTAACATCTAGAAAAATATTATGATTAAGCACTGTTAATTGGTCTTTTTTTATGCATCTTTAACAGCAGTTATGTACAAGCATCGTGAACAAACACTTGTTGAAAAAATAAATAAAATGGGCCAAAGAATTGTTTTTGATAATTATTTTGGAAATTTAATTGATAGAGTAGGATAATGCACTTTCATAAGACACTTTATGATTAATTTATCTGTCTTAAACATTGTCATAACAAATAAAATTATTTTACAAGATCCAATTAATATTCTAGATCATTGCAGTTACTGAAAATATTTAAGTGTACCACAATTACTTTATTACACTTACATAAGATTTTGGTAAATAAAAATATCATATATGACAATTAATAACAGTTAAGCTCGTAATGAGTATTTACAAATATGTACCTGTCATTAATCCAAAATAAACATTAGAATAGCACATTTTAGTAATAACTATATGTTTTGACATATTATGTTTTCAATGTTATGGTATGTAGCTGCACTTGAAAAAATTATATTCAACAATCATACCTAATATCATAACTAAAATTAAAAGTATTTTATATTTTTGAAACTTAGCAAACATATATATATAATAATTACAATGCATTTATGTTTTTATAAATATTTATTTTTACAAAAAGAAAAATTACTCTTAGCTTGTCGTTGTCTGAAAAAGTCTTTTTCTGAAGCTTCTACATTATCGCTCTTATGAAAAAGTATTTGCTTGTCTTCATCAATTTGAATCAAGTGGGGTTCAGGTTTGGTAGTAGAGTTTGTTGTTGCAGATGGGCAACTTTCAGTACTTGAGATTGAATAGGAGTCATATCCGTGGTCACCTGCTGTAACCTGACCTTTGGAGTCAACATGAACTTGTTCCAAATTCCCATAAGCCAGCATGTTGATATTTGGCCTATAATGTAAGTTTATGTTTTTTTTTAATGTATCAATTCTGTTCTTGAAAAAAAGAAAAACTAAAATTATTTTTAATATATTTATCAAATTACAAAAATCCAGATATGTTGACACATCCATTAATATTCAATGCAATACTCAGTTCTTGGTACATGTATGTTGAAGTATAAATACTTAAAATATACATGTTGATTTGTGGGTTAAAACAAGGTTTTATGTAATTGTAATAGATCATTACTTCTCTTAGGTTCAAATGAAAGAATAGACATGGAATAACAGAAATGCTTAAGACCAATTTTCACTTTCAGTGTTTTATCTACACTGATATTTGAAGAAAATTTCAATATCTATTTACAAGAATACCCATGATTATAAGGACTTGAAACTGAGAATACTCATGTTCCTAACGTTACAACGAGAGACAGATTTTTGAAGTTGTTTAATATGCTTTTAGTGTGATTGAAATAGTAAAAAAACAGGTGTGATTCTTATAAATGTTCACAAATTATTTGTTTAATTCAAAAAAGAAGATTAAGTTATACAATATATGTGTTTTTCACTATGTACATACCTATTATGTGTAAGCATACTAGGAAAGCCATTATCCACAGATGAGCTACTCAATGAACTGGCACTGTGACAATCTCCACTCCAATTTCCTGAATCACGTCTTTCAAAAGTAGATAAATCAGGAATGTCAACTTTCAATGTTATATCATTAGCTGTTGTATGTAGACCTTGTGGCTTAGAATTTTTATCACAGAATGTACTCGTAAAGCTGGTTGTTACACTTTCATTCATTGTCTTCTGCCATTGAAGTTTCTGGGCCTTTAGAACGTTCTCAACAGCTTCCCTACTGATATAAGTCTTCCCAGTTTCACTTTCAGCACAACTAGAATATTGCGGCATTGTGTGTGATGTAGAATAATTGATTTTTCTAATTTCTGGTTTCAGTTCTGAAATTCCATCACTAAACATTTTATTTTGGAAGGGTGAAATGTTACTTCTGCATTTGGATGTTTCTTCAGTATCTAGCTGAAACATTCTATTACCACAGTGTCCATCATGTTGATGCTGAGGCCATACTGAAGTCAGACGATGATTCAGATGATTTTGAAAAGAGCTGGACATATAAGATGGATTTGAAGTAGAAAGATAGGGATGTTTTGAGGATGAAAGAAGATAATTTGTGTCTAGCATACCATTATTAAAAGAACATTTTGTTACTTGAGGGTTAAATTCATTCCTTAAGCTCTTGTAAGATAACTCTCCACTCGGGGTTATAGCTCTTCTTGGTGGAATGTTGCTTAAGTTTTCACCAGAAGTTTCAGGGTTTGGAGTGAAAGCCCTTCTGTGGTTTCCATTAAATGAGTTTAAATGTATTGGAACAGTATAGATAGTTTGTTTGTCTTCTTTTGAGCCTTCTCCTATGAAGAAAAATAAAAAGTATCAAATTATCCAGTGATATACTGTAATAAGTAAATTAGAAATCTGCATAGGTCACACCTGTATTCATTATGAATGCATTATAAATTTGAAATGCATGATAGAAATAACACATTTTCTCACTTCAGTTATTAAAAAAAAACAGAATAGCAGTTAAATGTCTTTATCTACCTCAAAGTTATTAACTAACACTGCATAATGAGTAAGCTAGATAATCTTAACAAGTGGTCAATGAGCTATTGTCAGTGACAGTGTTTATTAACCTGGTCTAGCTGCTCCATTAAAGTACAACTTACCACTTGTACACTTGTTGTGACCTGTAATTACTGTTACACTTCTTGGAGCAGTTTCAGATGAGACAGGACTTCCTTGTGGGTCAGCATATAAAAGTAAAAGTGGTTGAAAATGGCCTCCATAACACTTGTCTATGACCTGTTCCCATCTTGGTCCAATCTAAAAAAGAAACAGCTGCAGTATTGTCTTCAATTAAAAAGTTAATGTAATTAGTAAACATTACTTGCTATTCATGGTGACAGAATTCGATCCTCTTTCCCATATAATGAATATTTTTAGTTTAATGCGATTTATGATAAGTAAATATTTGTGTATAAATGTATGAAGGATGGAAGAGCATAATATAGCAAACAAAACTGTTTTTTAATCATTCTCTCACCAAGAAGAACTTGGAACATTTGTTAATGAAGTTAGGTTTATATGCAACCATAATGTAATAATAAAAAACCTCAGATGCTGCTTGAACAACAGCAACAGTTTGACCATGGGTCAGAGTGGTGTGCATTGTAATAGGTCACATGTCATTCTAAAATTTTAAACTTTTAAAAACTATTATAGCATGTCATGATTAATTGTTCTAAAGTAACAGCATTTCAGATCATAAAAAAACATTGCTTTGTTATTAGATTGTTTGTGGTATCCAAGATACATTTTGTTTCTAACTTAAAAATGGTTTTTAGTGTCTGTCAAAATGAGTGAAGTTTATAGTGATGAACAAAGTGACATGGTTTATATGACAGAATTACAACACTGTGATATAAATACTTTGAACAAATGTTTTGCTAGATTATAATAGTTTACACCAAAAACTTTACACCACTGATTCCCCAGAAGGACAGTATTAAAGTTAAAAAAAAAAAGCCTGTAGTATCAGATTGCTTGGTTTACTTTTGTTTTCAACATTTTATTTGGTAAGCCTGTTGTAAACATTGCAGCAAGGATTGTGATTAACCTTTTCGTGGTGAGCTCATGCAATTTGCAGAAATCGAGTCATGAATTTCATATGTTCAACAATAAATATGGTAACTCTGAGATTTCTTAACTTATCCTCTCAAAAACTGGTAAGATTTTGTTAAAGATCATAAGTATCTTGTACACAAAGAATGAGATTATTATAATTAAGTATTTTTACTAAAATGTTTTTACTTATTTATTGTAGTTACTTGCACTCAAACTCTTAACAAATCGAGTGGAAGGTGATTTATATTTTAAGAATAAAAATACTTTTCTTCATCTTATAATTTTCATATTTTATTTGCATAATCTCTAGAACCTCCTAAAAGAATATCAAAAGTTTTTTAAAGTAAATGCTTCTATTTAATGTTTTATTTTCTTTACCATATCACTAACTCTAGCTATTATCATCAATGTACAATGCAAAGAAATAAAATTAGGAAATAGAAAAAATACATACCTTTTAATTTTTTGTAGAATATCTAAAAATTTTCCTTTTGTTAAATTCCTAATTTCAGATCTTTTCCTTTTCACATATAGCAATGGTGCCCTTGAGGCATATTACAATGTCTCTGGCAGACATGTGCAAAAGTTTTATGCACTGTGTAATATAGTAAGCCTTATGAACTAAGGCAAAGTATGATGTATATTTAAAGAATGTTTAAACCTTTCAATTATGAATTTTAAAACATAAAAGTAAGACCTAAATACAATTCAAACTGTATCTCTAAATATAACATATTTTTAGTTAAAAAACAACCATAAGTGCTATATATCAATTAAGCAGCCAACAATACTACAGTCAGTTATATGTACTCTGTGATGACAATTACGTGCCAATTTCAAAATAACCATTCTTAGATTATAGTGTAGAATGAGCTCTTTCTAATGACTATATCCATGTAGGCTATAAAGCTTAGATAACATAAATCTTCTAATCATAACACATATTATAATGCTAATTTCATTCAAATGCTTAATAGTAAAGGTGTTTAATCAAATTTTGAATGTAACACAGTGAGACATGCAGAAAAACATTTAAAGGGCACCCCTTGCGAAAGGGTTAAAGCACTTGTTTACTTAAATGGATGAACATGTTGATGATGGCCTCATTTTATTAACATTTTGACATAACAGCAACCAGTTGCACTGCTTCCTTTATATACAGGTTTACGACTTTGTTTTCAGCAATCCCAATACAAAAATATAGGATATAGTTTAAAACAAACCTAAATCTCTTAAGCTGGCACACTTTATAAACATTGTTTGATACATAGCTAAAATAGCATCAACAGTAAGGGTGTCTAACTAATGAATCAATGCATTCTAATCAGTATAGGTTTTAGTTCTTTTTTTGTGTATTGATTAATGACATTATTGACTTCTAATTAGTTTTCTGCTACTGAATTAGCTTCATAACTGTTATTTTTTTAGTTCTGATCTATTGAGCTAGCTTATTTTTAATCAGAAAATATTGATAATTCTAATATAATACAGATTACAAGTATAGAAGATATAAGCATTAATGTAGAGGCATTTGGTGAAAGAAAATTAAAAAAAAAGAACTACATTAATAGCATAGTGATGAATAGTAGCATTCAAAATAAATATGTATCTTTGAATAGAAAGTATTTTCACAAATTAAAAGTAGTACATTTTATTCAATTATCCTAACTTAAAATGATCAATTTTTTTCAGATTTAATTTCTATAAATGGTTACCACACATACTGGTAGTGTTTCTGAAATATACCTAGAATAAGATAAATAGTTGAAATCAATAGTTTTCTAAGGATTAATAGATATAAATATTTATACCAATAATCAAATATAAGTTACATTACCTCACAAACAGAAGCATCATCAAAATAAATCCAACTCCACAGCTTAGTATGGAAGAAAAATGTTGAGTAGTGTTTGCCATAATAGGTGACAATCCCTACTAACTGATGAGTGGTGCTACTAGCCCATTTATGATCAATCACAGAGTGAAACATCTAAACGAAAATAATAATCTCTGATGCCAGTAAACTAATTACATGAAGTAAAGTTTATATCATTATTTATTTGATGGCACATTGCATAATAAAAGTCAATTTTTTGTGTAAAATTGTAATTTGACATTGTACAAAATCTTGTCCAAATGGTGAACATTTTTTAATGCATAATAATTCAATAAAATATCAATACATTCACAATGAGGATGTTTTTTTTTCAAAATCTTATCACAAACAGCAATTAATATAGCGCTTCAATTGTCCAGACACAATAAGACATGAATCATGGACCCTTGGATTCAGAGTACATGGTTCATGCCCTATTGTGTAAAATCACACACTCTGGGACCACTTTTTGATTAAAGTAGCCAGGAAGTTGGTGGTGGTGCTCTTGACTAGCTGCTGTCCCTCTAGTCTATCAGTTCTAAATTAGAGATGGCTAACATAGGTAGCCCTTATGTAGCTTTGCATAAATATCCAAACTAAAACAGTCAAACAGCTATTTAAGTTATTTTATACCATACAAACACTTTCTTGAATTTATTATCTAGCCCTTATTGAAGTTAAGAAATAAAAAATGCTTTCTAAGTTTTGTTTCACTTACATCTTGTAGATTTACTGTTAAGCCTATTGTTTTGATGACGTTCATAATGTGATCTAAAGTCGGATTTTCAGTGTCCCAAACCATTCCAATACTCACTGCAAGAGAAAAGTAGATGTATTACTCATAAAAGTGCATATAATCAAAATAATCCTTTTTGATAAACAATACAACAATCATTTTTGTTCATTCAGAGCATGTAGTAATACAATATTAATACAAAATCAAAATAAATATGATAATATTTATATAAACAATAATCCAACACATTGTTATTATATAACACAACAAAGATTCCTGCACAATTCTTGATATTTTATTTTATTGGCTTCATGGAGATAGCAGGATGGTGTATGTGTATTATTTGCCATGCAGGTCTACCCGAATATTGATATAAAATTTTCTAGAAGTTCACCCCTACTGGACATCTTCTTCATAGCAGTATAACTACTTTCAATATATTATGTAACTTGTACTTTTAGGTGTCCTGGAGTTATGGGCCATACCCAAGAGCTTAGAACTTAAAAAAATATTCAATTACAAAGTTTCAGTTAACATTATTTATTTGATGAAAAATTCAAAGCTTATTGTTTTTAAGTTTCTAAAAGCAGTGAGTTTAAATAAAAATAAAAATTTACCTTTCTTAATAAAATAACAAAATACCTTTCTTTTTCCACACAAAAACTATTTATTTTCTTGCTTGTACCATAAAAATAAAATTTGTTACCAAATTAAAAAGGGTTAGAGGTAATATTTACACGTAGTAAAAAAACTTATGTTCTCCAACTCTACATGTTACTTCTTCTATAATTTTTCTTGAACTTTCCATTCTATTTTCTCACTTCCTAAAGTAACTTTAGTTTCTCATTTGAGTTTACCCTGATGCACAAACATTTTTTTCTTTTCCATATTTTTAGTTGGTAAATTATGGTGTGCAAGTAAATATAATTTTTTTTATTTATTTATAAACTACTAAGGTTGTATAGAGTATTTTTACATCTATTAACACTATAGATTCCAGTAATTATTTCTGTTAAAATTTCCTCCAATTTTATTGGCATATAAAACTTAACCCTTTAAGTGTACAATTAAATTTTAGGTGGATAAAAATCCACTAGTTGTGCTTTTGCTGTGGTACACACATGTGGTACTAAGGCGGGAAATTCAAGGATGTGTAAGTATCCCAATTGTTGCACTATGAGGAAAAGTTTTTGTAATACCGTGGGATAAATCCACTTGTTGCACCAAAAACTATAAATGTCAAGTCAGATACATCTGATTATTGCATCCAAAGGGTTACAAGCACATTACCAACTGTTTACATAGCTGCAACCTTAGAATCTGTTGCACAAAACCTCCCAAACCTATGGATGAAAATTCTGACATGAAACTTACTCAATCCTCAAGAATGCCAAGAAACCAAAACAGAACATCACTAAACAGGAATGCAGTGCACTGAACCATCTAAAACGAGATAACAATATCAAAATTCTACCAGCAGACAAAGTAAACAGTATAATCATCCTAGACGTCAAAGATTATGACACGAAGATCATGCAGTTACTAGACAAACACCAATACAAAAAGATCACCAATGAACCTACAGAAAAGACAGAGATTCATCATTAGAACACTGAATAAATTTAGGAAACAAAACTTAATCAACAAGAAGCTAGCCAAAGACTTAAGATCCAACAAAAAATTTCCCCCCTCTGTTCTACGGACTACCAAAGGTACACAAACCTAATACTACTTTAAGGCCTATTATCAGTGCTATAAACTTACCTTGCCATCAAGATAGAACTACTCATATAATTACATATCAGATCCCAGGATATTCTGGTCAGTTTTGATTTCACAGACCTATTTACCAATGTTCCAACCTCATAAACCCTTCACATCACCAGACAACGACTGCTGAATGATAAATCTCTACCACACAGAACTGACATGAAGACAGATACCATCATGGAACTAACGACTATTTGCCTACAATCAACTTATTTCTAATAGAAACAGATGGTCTAGCCATGGGATCACTACTCTCTCTAATCCTAGCAGACATTTTCATGGAAGACTGAAGAAAGAGCCCTCTCATCCACATATACATAAAACCTAGTTTCTACAGATGTTATGTTGATGACACCTTCATTAGTTGGTCACATGGTCATGAAAACTTACCAGCCTTCTTAAAACATCTTAATTCTGCAGACAAAAAAATCCACTTCACCATGGAAATAGAGGAACAAAACAGCCTACCATTTCTTAACATACTCATCAGCAGAAAAGATAGGAAAATCACCACAAGTGTATACAGAAAAACCACCTACACTAACAGATACCTACACTTCCAGCCCTATCATCCAACCTCAATAAAACGTGATATAATCCAATACCTAAACAAGAGAGCAGAAAAAATTTGTGATAAAACATCAATCGAAAAAGAACAACAAAAGGTCATAGAGTGTTTTAAACAGAACAGTTACACATCCTCCTTCATCAAAAATTCCCTGAAGAAGACCACAACTGAAAGAAAAGATAAGGAAAACACTACCACTACTACCATTTACCTTTCATACCTGCTAAAGTTCAGTGAAAAACTCAAATGCATAGCCAAGAAATTCAACACAGATGTCCAGTGTAAAAGACACAAAATTCAGCCATTGAAGAATACGCTCTGTCAACTGGATACAAAATAAACTGGGACAAAACGAATTATCAACACAAACAAATTTTGGAAGACAAGAACTATTAAAGAATCATTTTACATTAACACAATAAAACCTTCACTATACAGAGATTCCAAATTAGAGGTGAGTAACATGTAGCTACCATTGGTTGAATCTACAGGAAGTCTCTCCACAAATCAGAAACAGGGATAAACCAACCAATCATATCATTCTCTCCACAATCCACCACAGTATTATAATGACTGACTATACCATTCACAAACTAACCTGAAGATGAAAGGTGAAAGACTATTGAAACATCGTCCTCTACACTTGTGTTTCTGCAACAAGCAGTTGCCATCCATTCAACTAAGTTTCATATATACAAGTTGTTCATACATTTCTTAATTACCTAGAGATTACCAGATCAATTACCTATTTCTGGATGATTCATCAGTGTTCTACATATCTGGATTTTGGCACCACAAGAATTCTGAAAATGATAAAATATATTTTATTCTGAATGATGGAAACATCACAGTAAACACTGATAAACATACATTCAAAACAACAACTACACATTATGTGATTATCTATGAACTTGCAAAAGATAAATCTTGATACCAGAATAAAGTGTGTTCTCAGTTTGCCCCTGATGAAGAAAGGTCCACCTTTGAAAGCATTCAGGTTATAGGGTTTCATATTTTTGCCTTTGATTGATTTTTCAAATTTCCATGTTTTTTAACATTTTAAGTAATATTATGTTGCAATATCTATAAGAAAAAACTCAAATAATAACATATTAAAAATATATTTATAAGCAATGTTAGAATACACAAGTAAAGAAAAACTTTTCAAAAAGAAAGTAAATGTAGGGATGGCTAATATCAATCCTTCAAAAAAAAAAATGCAAATAAGATAGTAGGGATGGCATTTTCATCATCCCTAATATCTTGTTTGCATCGTTTTTGAAAGGTTTATAATTAGCCATCCCAGCATTTACTTCCTTTTTTGAAAAGTTTTTTCTTTACTGGTTTCTTTAATGCAGTGTTTCAATAGACATAGGAGGGTTGTATTTATGATCAAGTTTTAAATACAATGAAGTTCTAGCTGTAATATTTATTGTTTATCTATAATTAGCTGGTAACACCAAATTTCTGTAAGAAAGCTAACTTCAAGGGGTAATGATAACATCGTTTTTTTTTAAATTACTACTAGTTATCGATAATACTTATAAAAGCAGATATGCCATTTGAAATTATGTCACCTCAATGAAATTGGTTGACATCATTGTTTTGGTTATCATGTAAAGCAGAAGAAAAAACAACAAATTAAAAGTTTTTTGCTATGTGACTGTCATTACAGAGATATTGTTATAAAAGTAAACACTGTATAGTATTGTAAAGTTCTGATGACCTTTTGAAGAGATATTTAAAATACTATTTTGATGAACAATCCACCAGCCTGATAGGTTTTAATGTATAATTAAATCAGAACATAAATTTCACAGAAAGGTAACTCAAGGTTTTTCAACTAAGAAAAAAATATTTTTAAAATGAAAAAATGGTGTGTTATTTAGAAACACATCCACAACTGAACCTTCCCAAGTGAAGCACATTTTTGGCCTATCAAAATTACCCAACTCTGTCATAAGGCTGTCATGTGGAAAGTACACTCCTCCTCCCTACAGGTCTTCCACAACCCATCTAATGTATGAGAGTAATGGTTTCCCAGTGCCTGTTTCAACAATCCAATTGCACAGAAATCCTGTAGTATGCCTCCATATGAGATAGCATGAATAACCAGTTAATTCTCTGGTGCTTAAGGTATGCAATGGTTGAATAAATATAACATGGAAGCAACCTGTGTATACATAATTTGTGTCACTTTTCCTAACAGAAACTTCTTAATTATTTTGTGTACTGTTGCCTGGAGCACACGGTTCATTTTTGCCACTGACACTTTTGTATTTATGGATTTTTATCTGTTTTAAGATACATCTTGTTTATCATGAGTTGGATACAACTTGTTTCAGGTCTCTTTTTGGATGCTCATAGTTTCCAAAATTGATCCATATTCCTTTGTTTTTGAATGTAATTAAGTACAAGGTATTTCCTCTTGATCTTAACATATTTTTTATGAGTTCAGTGAATGATTTGTTTTGGAAAAAACTGTTACATACCCTTCCCAAAAATGATCCCTTTTTGATGGCAAAACACTACCTATGAAATGCAAACATACAATGTCAAAATGTGATAATGAGGAACACATTTTTTAGAAAATAAAGTTTAGAGATTGCTCGAATTGATAGTGAAAAAAATTTATTAGAAATGTATGATGTTTTGACAAGCTTTTGTATCATCAGGTACCCGATCATGACAAAAAGTTGTTGAAACGTTGTAAATTTGTAGTAGAGTTTCTTTCATTACACATTCAAGCCATTTCCAAAATTTATTTAATGTCAAAATGTGTTTCTTAAACATTCTATTCCACCACGACTTTATACTGGCTGTGGTTGTCACACAACTTGCTGATTTGCATATTCAAAATCATTTTGACAAACATACTCAATCCTCTGTTTAATGTTCAGGCTATAATTTTTAAATTTGTATACTGATACTTATAAAAAGAAAAAGAGGTCTAGAACAGATTATGTTAATATAAAAATAGCTTTCCCTTTTTTTAGTTAAATAAACAGATACTGAAAATTACATGTGGAAGAGGAATTAATTTTTACCACTGTAAACCTCAACACTCTTGAACAACATATCAATATGCTATAAAGTATCATTTCAGATTTACAAGAAACTTAGAAAAATTTTGTTTATGAATAAATTATTTCATTTTCTAAGCTTTCTGTACAATGAAAGGTAAATTCTTTATTATTAGTTTGAGCAGACTAGTTTCGGTTTGGTTTGTTTTGAATTTGGCACAAAGCTACATGAGGGCTATCTGTACTAACTGTCCCTAATTTAGCAGTGAATAACTAGAGGGAAGGCAGCTAGTCATCACCACCCACTGCCAACTCTTGGGCTACTCTTTTACCAATAAATAGTGGGATTGACTTTTACATTATAATGCTTCCACAGCTGAAATGGCAAGCATGTTTGCATAGACAGGGATTCAAACCTGTGACACTTATATTGCAAGTCAAGCACCCTACCCACCTGGCCATGCCGGGCCGGACTAGTTTCGGTAACACAATTATTATCATCAGGGCTAGTATCTACAATGCTAGCTTCGCATATATTCAGATACAACTGTTATTGAGTGAGTTAATTTTTAATTGTTGACAGAGCTTTCCAATAAATCAACAACAAACATCTACAAATGAAATACTCTGAATAAACTCCATTAAAACATCTCTAAACAAGTTCATTAGTATAAAAAAATTGCTAAAGCATTCCGATTAAAGGGTTACAAAGTGGCTTTTATTCCACAAAACAAAATTGTCAACCATTTACAAACACTCACAGATCTCAAAAATATTGGAGATAAAGAAGGAATTTACCAAATTAGTTTTAGTTGCAGTAAAATGTACATACGACAAACAAAGAAGGAGATTAAAAACAAGACTGAAAGAACACCAGTATGACATAAAACATGGCAACACTACGTCCTCCACTGTAGCTGAATATTTCAAGAATTGTGATGGTAATTATGACTGGAAAAATGTAGAGATCTTAAGAAATGCACAAAAAAACACAGAAAGGAACTTAAAAGAAAGTATTTAGATAATTAAAAACAGATCTGTA